AAAACCTCCCAAATAATTTTCAATGTCTATGGGACTGCTGTACCAGAAAGCTGATTGATTAATGTGTTGGAGAAACTTCATTCTCGCAAATCCACCTGCATTGTTTCAAGTGCAGTGCGGCACAATTACTACAGATACTGTATAGAAGGATAGAAACTGTAAATGGCTTAATGAGAAGACAATCATGATGAAATTCGTATCCTCGCTTTAAGACTTTTCTCGTACATCTTTTCATTATTAATCCATTATCCTTTAAGCTAAACAAATGGTTGGTAAACTTTTGTCCGCCATTGTGTGCTGTAAAACAAATTTCCCCAAATGGGACAATAAAGCTTGAATTAAATTGAAATGCGAATGAAATACCCAAAAGAATATCCATCCTTTATTAAAAATCGCAAGCTATGTGCCGTTGGGAGACGAATGTGGCTTAAGATATGAAACAAATAATAAGCTACACCTCAGGTCATATATGCAACAAGTTTGGATGTCCATGATATCACATCACTGGATATTTCTCATCAAGACTAAATACGATCCGGCAAAGCAACAAATTTCATGAAATTTTGGAGAAGGCAAATCAATGAATAATGAACAAGGATGTTAAACTGCCCTCTTTACTACCTTAACATAATGGTAACTAAAGTAACAGGATGATGCTAATTGATGATATAGCATGACTGGCTTCTTCTGTAGCTCCTACTGCATGTTGTTGACAATGGGTGCTCCAGGTTTGCTTTTTCTAGCATGTAGTATAAACAGAAGTTACATACAGTGTGTATTGACTATTAATACTGGCTGTAATCTTTCTTTTTTAAAACCAACCGGAGACCGGAAGTTATCAAACCATTGGATTAGACATGAGAAAGAAAGAACTGTAATTTCGTAAAAGAAGGCGCTAAGTCATTTTTCATTCTTGGTAAAAAGACACCCTGTTGTGTTCCAGTGAAACCTCTATTATGCTGCTAGCAGAACGAATTTCCACTAGGAGCGAACAAAATTCATATAACTTTGATTTTTCTTGTCACTTATTAAATACACCTTTAATGCTAAAGCCACTCCTGTAGGACCTTTGAAATAGTAGTGGCAGGGTGTTCTTTTTGATCAGGGAAAAAGTGCTTTTCGATTGTACAGATTAAGCGGAGTGGAAGAGAAGATGTGGCATCTAAAAAGTAAAATCTGTGGTGCCCCGATAATTTATAAATAAATGCAGATTCCTGGAGGGCAGAATTCTACATTGGAAATCATTTTTATGCTGGGGAAAGCTCTGTTCTACAAACAGTATGTGGGCTGGTGCTGAACAAAGTGTCTGTCAAGTGTACAAGGCTTGCGCTGCCTCGTCTGTGTTAGCATCATCACTTTGTCCCTTCCTGAAGAGAGTGCAGCAAGCTGGACTTACAGAGAATTTGCCGATCTGGCACAGCCTGTCTGCTTGACAGTAACGAACTAATGCTAATTGAAGGTTTAAAAAACATGAGTGTGGAAGAAACAATATCTCCAGAATGAATGGAACTCCACATTTTGTCTGTGATAAAACGCACATATTCATTTGATTGTGTGCGGAGCCTGATACAAACAGGTCAAGTTAAAGCCTTGTTGTCCGGGAGTTATTAAAAAAAAACATTTGACTGGTTGTGGATGATAATCTTCAGTGCTGGGACAGAGTTCTTAAGTTAAGTAGTAGGTGTTGCCTAGAGTATAACAGTTTTCAGGTTAAATCACAACATCCTTCTATTTCTACTTGTAGAAGTATTAGACTTTTACGTATCATTCTCAATATACTACAGTAACCATGACAACATAGTTTTGTTTTTATCAACTAGTAAACCAGTGATCCTGAACATCTGAATGACAAGTGTAGTTTATTTCAGTTTGGGATGCTTTCGCAATGATAATCTAAAGAGAAGATCTCGCTATGTATTTAATCCACATACACAGGTGGTCAATATCTGGGGCACATCTGGACCCTCTCCTTGAAATACAACAGAGAGAGGAAAATAGACATAAAAATGTGGATACATATAGAAATCTCATTTTAGGCTTTCTAAAAAGGCAAACTCTTTTGCTTAGCATATCGTGCCTTAGCAATCATGCAGGCTAACAGACTCACACACTCTGCACTGTATGTTCATATGGTCACCATAGTATTGAAAAGATAATGCTGCACTGGAATTAGCCTAGGGCAGACCAACCAACTGCATTCTGGAGCTTAAAGAGTCCTTCACTGTCAGGCTGAAAGAAACCCAACCTTTTTAGTCTTGAGCTGAGAAGACAGTGAAAGGACCTGACCCAACACCCTCAAAAGGCACTGCAAAGGGTTGTGGGAGTGTGGAACAGGCTGCCCAGCTACACTGTTAGACCTCATACCCTGGGTTCCCTCAAGAAATGGCTGGTGAGATCATTAGATCAATTAGCCAAACAAGCGAGACAGAGGTCTCTTCTGCTTTGTAACCTTTCTTAAATGTTTATACCTCTACTGGCTGTGCCTCTCTTTCCTGTACTCCTGTACCTTCATTCCGTAATGTTTCATCTAGACTGTGAATGCTGAGACCATAACAAAATCTCGTATGACGAAAAAACATATAAGCCCATTACAACATCTGCTTTCTCACTCAGCTAGCGACCGGTGCAAGGCAGGATACACACTGGATGAGACACCAGTCCATCGCAGAGCACACAGACACACACTGGGGTCGATTTCCAAGAAGCCAGAACTCCAACCCATTACAACATGGCTTTGTAATTGTTAATTAATGGAGTCGCCTCATTTAACGTATGTAACAGTAGATTTGTTATTTGCATCTGAATGTATATTCAGTATAGTGAGATATACTTCATTCCATGCTGAAAGGAGGTGTGTCGAAGGCTCCGCACCCAAAACGTTGTGTCTCTTTTCCTTCCAGCGTGGAATAAACCTTTACCTGTTCCTTTGCAGCCTGCGTATGCTGACACACCTACCCACTGTACTTGAACTTGTACTACAGTCCTCCCTTTTTGCATGAAGAGTTGGACAGTCGTTGATCCTGGCTATTATCTGAGATGGCTTTGTAAAACAATATGAATGAATGATAAACTTTACAGCAGAAAAATATTGACAATATACTGTATCATGTTGTAATGAAGGTGAAGTAGGGCATTCGTTTTTTCTGACTGGGAGATTCCACCAGGCTTGTGGTTAGCTAGGCCATGAAAACCACATAAACTAACAGAGTGCGAGCAAATGTGCATGTTTTTTTTTCTCAGAAGTGCGTTTTTCTTGTTTTATTTTTACCACATATTAACACTGTATTTTGAAATTTCACTTAATCTGCAGTTACAGTGTGGATATTTTGAAGACGAACTCATTTTACCAATAAATGCGAGATCCTTTTCATCCTGCTTGGATTACAGGTGATATAGTCAACTCACAACCTTTAGCCTCCTCAGCTTACTAGCAGGAACACATTTACCTGTGACATATGTTAAGAAGATTTCTGAATAACAATATTAATCTTGCCCTGGTTTAATACTAAACCTGATTAATTGCGCAGTATTATATTAAATCATGCGATGTGTTATAGTTTAAAATGGTTAAAAGGCTAAAATAGTGCTGATCTGTCCCAGACACACTGAGGCAGGCTGGGACCTTTGTTCTTCTCTACAGCAGGGTAGTGAACTGAATACTTTTATTAATCTGCTCTGAGGGGGGCTGCTCCAGACCCCAAGAACTGCAAGGTCTTCTGGGCACTGCTCTGGTCGAGCTGAACCAATTATTTGCTTAAGGAGACTAAGTGAGCGGTGATTTACAAAGGATTGTGGTAGGAACTGAAGGGGGGAGGTCATTCAGTCCAGCTATTGTGTTTGATCGTGGATATTTGACCAGGGGATCTCCTCCAGCTGTTTCCTGGAGGACGCCAGGGCTTCAGCAGCGTGGCTGGGGAGCTTGTTCCCTGCTCCCACCACCCTTTGGGTAAAGAGGGGCCCCCCGTTATCATTGCCGGTTGGTTGGTTTTCAACATTGACATTGAGAGAGTGAGTCCACTGGCAATCCTCCTGCAAGTCAGAAGGGACTTCCTCTATTTAGTAATCGCCGCAACAGTGTGAGCCCGCTTTTAGCAAATGTGCTAGGAAAAAGGTCATGCCTTTTATAGACGGGGTGTCTATGAGGTGTCTCGCGTTGTGAATTGTAATTATGAGCATGTCGTGTATCTGCAGCTTATCCATTTACAACGGCGTCCAAGAAAACGTGTCGGAGAACACGGGAGACACACTCCTGTGTGTGTCACCGGCGATTTCCCATCGAACGCACAGCGCTCATGCGGGCGAATTTGACATTTTCTCGCATTGTACTACAAATCCCACACAGCTTTGCAGCTCAAACCCCCCTTCCTCCTAACTGCATACTTCATTAGTCATGGCGAAAAAGCACCGCACTCACAGAAACACAATCCCGCCGCGTGAGGCTGCTGAGCTAATGCGAGGCGAGGGGGCGCGCGGCGCGCGCTCGTTAGGGCGATTCACCAAGCCGCGCTGCGGACAGTTTCTTGAGTAGGTGCCTAACCGCCCGGGGCATTCACGCAATCTGTACCGTGCATTGTTGTGAATGAGGGATAGGGTGACGTCAGCGCTCGAATGTCAACAATGTAGCGATTGAGAGTAGGCGTTCCATTAGAGTGTAACAAACAGGGGAGAAGGAGCCGCACGCTGTATTGGAGCCTCACACACTGACATTTACCGGGCAACGTCAACAATAACATTAAAGAACCACCGAACGGCCCTCTTGCACAAAGACACGGCTGAACCTTAAAAGCATCAAATGCAATCTCCGTGCAGTCACGGGGTGGGGGGGGCGGCTTTAGGAAACTCTGCAAGGAAGTCACCATGTGAAAAAATGTTCTAATGTGGTAAACAGACAGACCAAAAAAAACAAAAACAAAAAGGCTGGATTACGAGAAAAAAAATCGAAAGTTAAAAGGTGAGCAGCATGAACGTTTTTTTTTTTAAATCCTTTGCTTCGATCTCTGATGTTCGTTTCCTGGCTTTTGTTCCCGAGTAGCATTTTGTACATTTGCGGTACTGCGGTTTCAAAACTTGTGCGCTGGGTGGGCTCCCTCTGAACGCGTACTGCTGTAGCTGGAGCTGGCGTCCGAGGCTGGAAAAGGGGACTGCGTGTGTGTGTGTGCGTGCGCTCTGTTTTCTGGCCGTCGGGCAGTGTCTTTCTTTTTTTTTTGCACATTTTGCTGACCGCTTCTGCCTGCAGCCCCGTTCGGCATACAGCCCGGGTGAAACCGGCGGAGCCCGGAGAGCCCCACGTCCTGTCGCGGCACGATCCCGGGCAAGGAGGAGGAGGAGGCGCGGGGCAGTGCCGAGGGTCAGGCACGGCTCTTGTGTGCGCGCAGAGGGAAGGGGCTGTCAGCGGCGAGAGGCCCTGGCCGCTCAGGACAGCCGCGGCCAAGACGGAGACCCCCTCGTTAGTCCTTCCCGCCCTCATTCGCCCCGCAGCTCCCGGGAACGAAACCGAGACCAGGAGAGCAAATGAAACCGCCGCAGGCTTCGCCCGTGCACCCCAATTTCTGCGCTGTTTAGCCCCACGCTGTGAGGATACGGCCAGTGTGCCTGTGCGATTTATATTAAAAAAAAACCCGTCGCCGGTAGGCATAAGTACTAACGCCCGTGGACGCTGACACCATCGTATCTAACGTTCAAGCCTTTTACAGCAGATTGCGACGTCAAAAATGGGAAATAGTCATTGTTGGACGAATGCAACAAAAAAAAACGCTTTTTTTTTGTCCCGGTTTGCGTGATGCATAAAGCGGGGTGCACTTGGTACTCGTTGCAGCCACAGTGGAAATAAAATCTACAAGCCATCACGCTGCAATCCCCATTAATCCGCAGAAAATCAGCAAACTATTTGCTGTGTAAGGCACCGCTGTCCTTATTTGGTTCCGCTGCAAACGCAAACGGCGTGATAACCCGTAGATGTCACTTCAGACTAAACCAGGGGCATGTCGACGCGCGTTTTCTCAAGCTTGTAGGAGATCGTGGGTCCGGTTTTGCTTTAAACAGATTATTCTTCTGGTCAAGCACAATATGTCTAACCGAGAAAAAAATAATTCTATAGGTCAATTCGAAATATAGACGTGTGTGTGTGTTTTTAAACCTGACCGCCAATGAATACAGTTGCTTTGTGTGCGGTTTCTGGTGGTGTCTGATCAGATTTGTAAATAGACTCGTGGAAGCGCGGGACAGTACAAAAAAAAAGATGAGTGTTTAAAAAAAAGACTGTCAATCTCATGTGCGCTTTTTTTTTCTTCTCCTGATTGTGCTCTAAAGGAACAGTCCAAATGGGAATGCCGCCGAGAAAGGTGAATCGGACCGCGACACGAGTGCTAACGCTTTGTCCTGAAATCTTGGAAGAACTTGACTGATGTAGCGATCGTCAACCGGGGTTCGTGTGCGTTCGGTCTCATCCGCGTTTTCCACTTGCAGTGCCGAGTCTATGGGACGTTTTGTGGCGGTTTCACATAACAGGGTTGGATGATAAGCAGATCTTGGGGGGGGGGGGGTGTGCGCAGAGAATCACCCGAAGGAAGTGAACGTGCCCGCGGAGACGAAAGGTGCTGATGGGTGAAATATTCACCGGCGTCGGTGATGGGTTCTGGTGTAGCTGAAGCTGGCGTGCGGGTCGCAGCAGTAGGGAGCACCGGGGTGACAGCCGGAGTCAAGAAACGCCTTTGTGTACCGCTCTGCTGTTGTGGTGGACAGGAAAAAAATGAGAATAGATAGGGGTGTGGGGGGGTCCTCGTAAACATTTACAAGTCTCCTCCAAGCGTGTCCAGGCGCAAACGGCTTTCTTCCGCGTGATCGCAGGGAGCTGTGAAGAAGGAGGAATGGCGGTACCCCGGCACTGACGGCCAGGGAAGAAGCTGAGTGTGAAATCGCCTCCTCTCCCCCTGCACTCCCGGCTATTTTTACAGTGTAGTGACATGCGTCTAAAAATAATAGAAGTCATTGGATGCTCTTAGGCTGATTGCGGGGGGAAGAGGGCAAACTCGGATGTGATGGCAAGTGCGTGTTCAGGGTGAGATCATTTGCTCGTGTTCGCCGTACTGCGCACGTGAAGACTGCGGCATGGCAGAATTGCACCTCAATCAATAGCGTTCCTCTCCGCTATCGGATTGATTTATGGGGTACTTGTGCGCGCTGCAGCGGCGGGGTTTTTTTTTTCTTCCCCCAGTCCATTGTTCTTCCGCATTTGACCGCGGTCTGATCTTTTGTTTTGCACTGTTTCTTAAATTAACCCGGGATGAAGCGTTTCTTCCAAGGTTGGGAAAACTTTAATTCACTTGGCGTGCGTTCGTTCCCCGGCTGGTCAGAAGGGCTGGTGCCGATGTGCCGTTGTGGATAAAAGCCGAAAATGAGAGAGAGAGAGGGGGTGAAAAAAACTTTTAAGTTCAACTTTTAAACGTATTGTGGTGCATAACTTGATGGGCAGTTGCTGATGGCAGAAATTGAGATTTAATGGGCGGGTGTTTTTCATGTCATTTTATAACAGTTGCAAAAGCATAGTACATTGTGATGCAGTCGCACAAACCAGGTTTTCAAGTCATTAAAAAGGTAACGTGTATGCAGTAAAATGGATCAATTCGATAGTGCCTGCTACTGAGGGGAGGCGAGTTTCCTAGAGGTCAGAATGCGTTCAGTATTCAAACAAATGGAAACTAGAGGTTATCGGATGGCATTAGTAAATACTGCCTATGGCCGTTTTATTCACACATCAGGTTTGCGAATGTTCCTCCACAGACGCAATTTTTAGTGCTGGATTTATATCTTAACACAATTAGCATTAGCAATACATTTAAATCTGGGTGGCCTCGAACTTTAGGCACATTTAGGCACACACAAAGGTTCCCTTTATAAAGTTGAAACCAGATTTCTTTGTAATTACGACAGTACACTAGAAGTGTAGATATTACGAGGAAAGTGTACAAAGGATTTTAACGTGCAGTTGATATGTAGCTGTGATGTCCCCTTTATAAACATCTTTACCTTCGGCAGGAGCTGTGTATTGTAAGAATATGAATCAAAATGAGTTCAGTCTTATTCTGAATGAATACAGTTTGATGATAGGTCAGTGCTCTTCATTTAGAGGAGGAAAAAGCAACATTCACATGTTTTAAAAATAGCACATTTGGTAAACGCGCTGTTTTAATTGTTAATGATAAAACGCTCTCTCCTTATATATATAACAGAGGCAGCTATCTGTTCGTGGAGAGTACAATTTTAACAGTGCTCGAGAATTACGAAACATTCTGTCCTCACGTTTAGTCTTTACCTAATACACTGCCTTCAATATCCTGATACGTACAAAACTTATATAGATATTTGCAATGCGTCAAATCAGTTATGCTGCAACATTTTTTGTGTAAGAAATTGTAAATCAAATAGCGAAATTACACATAATAAAATATGCAAACATGCTGCATAATATGAATACACAGATGCAGGTCAGTGAATGCAGACTGGGATTTGGGCTGCAGTAATCCCTAGGCAGACTGGTTGGAAAAAAAAGATGTGCATTATTGCCAGTGTATACAATGTGTACGGATAATAGCCAACTGCAGCTTGTAACCTTAGTGCAAGCAGTGAGGACAGCTGTTCAGTCTTTTGATGATGTAATGTAGCTTTCTTGTTCTCTACCAAGATTTATCATTTAGGGTTTCAAGTCAATGGATATAATTCTGTACTTTATGGGAATGGTCACATTTGTCACTGTATGTCATTCTGTGCTCAGTGCATTGTGCGGGATTCGTAAAATGAGATTGATTATGAAAACCTAAGGCAACCCTTTCCCAGTCCAGGTGATCTTGGAGGATAGAAGAAGAACGATGGTACAATAGTGGTTCTAAAGTTAAGTGAACAGTGTTAAGCTAAAGATATTTTAGATTCTTAATAAATACAATGTGTGACCAGTCAACAGGACATTTATGACATTAATAATTACAGTGTGTATCACATTAGCTATAGTTCTTCAAAATTGTCCTGATGCTAAAGTTTCAGTCTTAAAACCTGGCCCACAAAACTTGTATCTAGCAGTAAAAAAAGGAGAGGACATCTCTCATACTAAAATGTACATGTCGAAACACCACCATGTACGATGCAATTATTGTTCAGAGTTCAGAATTCATCCAGATATCACCTCACTGCATCAGAGCACAACAGCAATAAAAGCAATTATGCCATGCATCATCTGTTCATCTTATGAACAGTATAATATTTAAGTGTGTTTGGACTGAGCTTTAGCTTTAATTTCACAGGTGTGGATCTAGTTAATGAGCAATACCGACAAAAGGGGAAAGTGTGAGTGTGAAATTGCAGTGTACTTTAAGAAACATTATTACGGGATTTTGCACACTTTGCAATAGATCAGGCAGATGAGTGAGAAATGACATCGCCCATCAATAAGTTCCCAACATGCCAGGAACACATCTCTGCATGCCTATCAGGGGGTTAAACATTCCTAGTTCAAGGCAGCTATGCAGTATTTAGCTGTTAGATAACAAAGACAGAGGATCTCAAATTAAATTTGTGAATGCTTTGCAAGTATTTGCTCTAGTCACCAAGTGACCTGCACTTACTGTAGCTGCCTCCTAGCAGGGATATTAGTCAGCAGTTCGCTGGACGGTTTGGGTCTTTGTCTGGTTTTGGGAGGTAAGCAATTTCGGACATGTGCAAGAATTATGTAAATAATTGATCCACCTAGAAGTGAACATTTTGCTCAGGGTTTTTAGGGTTCTGGTTGGATGTAGTCTCAGCCAGCAGCAGTGCTTTGTCCTATTCCAAGGCTTGAAGAGTAAGAGACTGTTTCTGCTGCCCTTGGAGAGTTCCCCCACTTTGCTCTGGATTCGCTTTTTCGGTTCCTTTTCTGCCATAACTTTCCCATAGGAAACCCAGGAATCCCAGTTGACCTGATTGCTGGGCTGTTCCATAGCTGTGTAGATGATCTGTGTCCTGTCTGTTCTGAACAAGTGACCCATATTGCTGAAGTATGCAGGCAAGGTAGAGTTGACCTTTGCCCAACATGGGGGTTACATTCCTCCAAAGTGGCGCATTAGGGCTATTTTGCATTGAAGAAACTTAACACCTTATGTAATAAATAGGGATACATGAATGCAACTGTATAAGTCACCTGTTAATACTAATATACATGTATGAATACACACAAACGGAATAGTGGATTAAATGAAACTATATAAAAAAATCAGATATTTACTGTAAAATAAAATCATAAACATTTATTACATTTACATATGATACAAAAGTAGTTCAATGCTTACCTTTAAATGGTGAGAGTGTAGGACATTCAGACCTCCACACCATCCAGAATTTGTGTTTTTTTCCCCACTCATGCCAGAACCTACTGTTCAGGTGCCATGCCTTTTGACTCCATTATGTTTTTTAAGGCTAGAAACCAAAACAAAAGTTCAAGAAGGTCGAAAAAGGCCACTTCTCCACGACCACCACTTCTCTACTAAACTGTATGACTTAACTGAGCTTCTTGTGGTAACAGGGTACTTGAGACTGAGGGAGAGGATGGTGTACATGGTGTGGAAGTGTTGAAGATATGTATTGCTATGAGTTTCCTGAGCACCTATAAAAATAATAAATACTACTTTTGGCAGTATGTTTATGACTGCATGAAGTCAAATGTTTTGCGTTCGACGGATATTTATTCTCTTTGCTTTTATTTTCCACGTGCAATTAAACCAAATTGCAGAAGGGTTTACAGTATAGATGCATGGCAATAACTCTATAGAATGGTCCACATGGCCGCCTTATAGAAGACTCTCCAAAAACAGATGTATGCCTGCTCTGCGGGGATATTGTGGGATGATACTGTTCAGGACCTCGCTGCGCACTATTTCAACCATTGGATTTTGTACAGGTTCACACAAATATGCAGGCAATGGACTAATGACTACTGACCTGACCCAGCACAGCCATCTTTCAGTCTAGCAGAGTGGAAAGTTCCAGGATGTTTGGAATATAGACACAGTCATGCTCTGACTCCTCATTTGAGTTTTTCTCTGTCTGCATCAACTTCTTGGTAGCTGGACACTGCACTGTGTGAGGTGTCAGCTTCCAGATGAGATGTTGGACTAAGGGCCTGACTGACTTGGTCACCAAAGACCCCATAGCATGATCTTAGGGGTTGACACCTCTGAGATCAGTGGTGTGAACCCCAGTGGGCTGGCTACATTCCACTCTTGTACAATCTGGCCTTAATTCAATTAGTGAAGCAAATTTTCACCTTTCCACCTAATATTCTATAATGTGGGACGGCTTGTGCATAATGGCTGCCACA